CCTGTCTGAAGGGCATGTAGACGAGAGCTGTCCTCCCGCATGGCACTGTCCTCAGTAGCATGAGCATGCTCATGGTACCAAGAATGGTTCCAGCTCAGCCCTCTGTAACCAGATGGAGGGAGGCCATCACATTAACAAGCCTTGGAAAGACACAAGGCCCTACACTGGACCCCCTCCCACCCTGGCAGCCCTCTTGCCCACCCTTCTCCCTGACACTTTGTACCCAGACCCTCTGGGTTCCTTAAACTACCCATCCTGCCTCAGGGCGTGTGCACATGCAGTTCCTTCTGTTGGAATGCCATTCCCTCCTAACCTCTTGGCCCAACTGACTTCTCCATTCAGTCAGATCTCAGCTGTCTCTGGCCCCTCAGGCTGAGTCAAATTACCTTGCTGTGAACTCTCTGGAAAGTTCTCTTTAAAGCCCCCATCACAACTGTGATTAAATGATTAATTGTATATTGAGCTATTTGGAACCAGTGTTCCCCTGGGACCCGAAGCACAGGGAGATTGGGCATCATCTGGTGATTGATCCTTATTCCTGAGAATATTTGAGATAACTGAGGATGAGAAGGGAGGACAGAACCTGCCAGAATGTCCCTGGGGAAGGGAAACCAGACAGAAAGAAGCTAGAGGAGTGGAGACACTGGGGCAGGAGAACCATTCCAGGGTCATGAAAGCAAGACAAACTTCCAAGAGGGAGGATGGTCGTGGACAGGTAGGGGGAGTCTGGGGGAACCATCGGATCTGAGCCCACCCCAAGACTTACACTCCCCTGTTATAACAGAGCCCAGCCACCTTCCATACCTCCCCGAGGGCAGTACAACCTCAACTGCTTAAGGAAGCCATGCTGGTCCCCTCTGGGCCCCATCCCTGTTTCCCTACTCTGTTCACAGTCCCTGATGCTTCTGCCAACAGCCGGGCCCGGGTTCCATGTGAACAGGTCACATGACACAGACAAGCCTCTGAGGGTCATGGCCAAGGCTGGTGACGAGATGACCCTAGACTGTGAGGCCCAGGGTACCCCACCCCCATTGATCACCTGGACCAAGGACTCCCGCTCTGTGCCTCCTGTCACCGACAGGTAACCCCAATCACATGGCCTTGGGTCTGAGGATGGACAGAGCTTGGGGTTAGAGGAAACTGGCCTCAAGGTGACCAGTGACCCAGCTGGAGTGTGGGATCCTGTGGACACTCCCAGGGGGATGCAAGGGCCACTAAGGGAGCATGGATGCCCTTCAGAGGGGTGAGGCCTTCTGGAATAACATGCACTGTGCTTTATGTGGTGGCCGCGGGGTGCTGCATACAGGACCTCCTTCAATCTGCACAGCAGCCCGTGTTATCTGAGCGGAACTGAGGCTCAGCGAGGTGGTAGGTGGTGAGAGGCTCGTGGTCACTCAGCTAGAAATGAGTAACATCATGGTTGGAACAGTGTCCTGAATCCTCAGTTCAGGTGTCTGGCAGCTGGGCTTTCAAGGATCCTGGGAGTGGGCGGAGAGGAAGGAGGCTGGCTTGGGCGTCCTTCAAAGCCAGGGCGTACCCCCCACCCCAGACAGGGGTGTGGGGTGGGTTGATTCCAGACAAGGAGGCCTCAAAATTCCTGGGGCCCTTGACCTTTGAAGGGGAAGCAGGAGAGGGGATAGCTCTGGTTGGTGACATCAGTCCTGGCGAGGTCTTTGAGAAGTTCCGGACAGAGAAGATCTCAGAGCAGCCTGTGGTGTAACCCCCCACCCACCTGACCCCTGCATTTGGGGCTCTGCCTCTTGGAACATCTGTTTGGTGAGTGAGCGCTCCCAGTCCTTGAAGGTGCGCACCTGTATACAGCTGGCCTGGGGCTGTGGTGCCCCCGCCCCCAAGCCCTTTGGCGGCTCTGCAGCTCCATGTCCTGGGTGGGGGTGGGGACCAAAGAATCTGCATCTCTTCCCAGAAAGCCTGGTCCTAGTTCCTCAGCTAGGCAGCCACCAGCGAGTGCATGATTATTTTTGACTTGTTACTGAAATGGGGAACCACACTTCCCATTTGTTCACCTCTCCTTGTTGTGATGAGTTAATAGATCAGCCTGGAACCACAAATTTGTGAGAGCTGCTTTTGCAATCCTGGAGCTTTGTTCTGTTCCTCTCCCTTGCCCTCCCTACTTCTTGCTAGCTTGTGGCTTTCTCTTGAGATTTACAAGAGTCTGGGAGTTTATCTAAAAGGAGAGGGAAATATGCCTGGGGTTGAGCAGGCTGGGGTGAAGGGCTCAGACCTCGGCGTTCATCAGATCTGAGTGTGGATCCCAGCTGGTTCTGTATTAGTCGTGTGGTCTCAGGTGGCCACCGGTTGCTCTTGGCCTGTTTCTGCATCTGTAACGTGGACAGTTTAAATACTGCCCTTGAGATACAGTGATGGATGTGTGATGCTGGAAAATCATTCCCTCTGGTATCATTTTCCTGCTGCTGCTATGAACTAAAGCATCATTTCCAGCTTTTAAAAAACTATCATCATCATGTCTATCTCATTTAATTCTTACCTACTTTTTCAAATATAAAAGCTTTTGTGAGATGGAATTCACATGCTGTACAATTCTATGATTTTCGATAAATTCAGTCGTGCAGCCATCACTACCATCAATTCTAAAACATTTCCAGCCCCTTCCCCCCACCCACACACACAAAAAGTAAAAGAAAAGAACCCACACTCATTGGCAACCACACCCCAGCCCAGCCCCTGACAACCACTCCTCTGCTTTCTTTGGATTCATCTATTCTGGACATTTCATATAAATGGAATCATACACTCTGTGGCTTGTTGTGCCTGGCTCCTTTCACTTACCATGTTTTTGTGGTTCATGCTTGTTGAAGCAGGTGTCAGGACTTCATTCTTTTTTGTGGCTGAATAATATTCATTGTGTACATAGACCACCTTTGTCCATTTATTCACCAGTTAGTGGACATTGGGGTTGTTTCCACTTGTTGGTGATTGTGAATAACCTCATTGGCTTTTTAAAAAAATTTAACATTTTTAAAATTTCATTTCTTATTGAAGTATAGTTGACTTATAATGTTAGTTTCAGATGTACAGCAAAATGATTCAGTTATGCATATACATACATATATTTTCAGATTCTTTTCCATTATAACTTATTACAAGAAATTGAATATAGTTCCCTGTTCTATACAGTTGGTCCTTGTTTATCTATTTTATATATAGTAGTGTATGTCTGTTAACCCCAAACCCCTAATTTATCCCTCCCCTCCCCTTCCCCTAAGGTAACTATAGTTTGCTTTCTATGTTCATGAGTCTATTTCTGGTTTGTAAATAAAATTTGTATCTTTCTTTAGATTCCACGTATAAGTGACATCATATGATATTTGTCTTTCTCTGTCTGATTTACTTCACTTAATATGATCATCTCTAGGTCCATCCATGTTGCTGCAAATGGCATTATTTCATTCTTTTTTTACAGCTGAGTAATATTCCATTGTATATATATAGACCACATCTTTATTCAGTCATCTGTTGCTCTTTAACTTTTGATTGTATTTGAACTTCATTTGCAGGTTCTGGGTCCCTGTGGTTCTTTGGGCCTCCCTGTGGCACTCTGACACTTCCCCACACAGAACAAAACTCAGTTTTCTCCCAGACACACAGCTCCTCTTAGTCCCACAGCCATTCAGCTGGAAAATACAGAGTTTAAAAACCCATGGAAAACACACATTGAGCAGTGGTAGTGCTGGTGGCATGGCCTTGCTGTCTGTCTGTGCCTCCTCCCCGGCTTTCTCCTCCATCTCTTCTGCTCCCTCTGGATTCAGTGCTCCTTCTGCCTGGTTGAGCTGCCCCCTCTTCTGCAGTGGACCCCTCCTCTGTCCTTGGGGACGGAAGCCTGAACCTACTCCGTGGTTGCCTGGTGTCTGTTTTTCCTGATCCTGTGCTGACCTTGA